GTGGAAGATTGTAAATCATCAATAAAACGGGCCATGAACTATGGTTACTACTTAAATTTCCAAAAGGATTCATCCCATCTGTTGCTAATCCAAGTCTAAGGTTTCTTGCATCACTACCAAAACTAGGAAATAGACGGTCAAAATTCTTCCATTGGGGAGAGTCGGATGGATGCCGCATTTGCCCATCACATGTTTTTCTCTTTGAATGCCAAATTAAATTTTCAGCATCTTCGTGAGCGTACAACCGCCTAAATCTTGGAATAATTGGAAGATACCATAAAACTTTTGCAGGAGGACGTTTTTTACCACTCTCCCGACTACAATCATCACCATCCTTCGCTTTGTAACGTGATACACCACATGTTGGACATTGGTCTAAAGATGAGAATTCTTTCCTATATAACACACAATCATTAGGGCAAGCATGTATCTTCCTATATTCTAAACCCATCGGACATAGTATCTTCTTCGCTTCATACATACGGTCCAGGCAAGGTGTTATTGTCTGGGAGCATCTCCTTCAAAAGTTGGAGTAATTCATTAAAACTTGTATCACTCCAACCAAATTTGGCTTTTAGATTGACCAATCTTAACACAGGATGACAACAGTGTGAAAGTTGTACATCCGGGATACAAAGGTGTCTACTGAATCGGTCCTCAATGTATCATATATAGATGCATGTGCTTCAAGAAACCTCTCTTGACCCACATCACAAAGCATGTCCTCTATTCGATCTTCGCAGGTTACATCATCCTCAATAGTTTGTGATACTGTTGGAATATGAACCACTTCATCGTGCCATGTCCATATTGTGTAATTCTTCATCATCCCATCGCAAATAAGATGCTCCCGCGTTGTGTCCATCTCTTGTACTCTGCCATTTACACAATTAACGCATGGGCAGTAGATTTTTCCATTCATTTTGGGAGCATTTTGTTCGGCAAATTTCAAAAAGGAGTCAACTCCATTCTCATACTCTTCTGACATACGACTTGCATTGACCCAAGTTCGATCCATCTAACTACATAAGAAGGCTTGCCTAGATATTCAAGGTTTATTAGAAAAGGTTTAACAAAACAATACAAAAAAAACGTGTACATTGCCTAACAATGCTCTAATGTTCCATACATGCTCTAATGTTCCATATACCACTTCGAAAGCTAAAGCTAAAGCTAAACCTAAACCTAAACCTAAACCTAAACGAAACCTAATGTTCCATATACCACTTCGAAACCTAAACGAACCTAGATCAAATCAAATCATATATACAAAATCATCCATCATCTTTCTAATGTTCATACGCAGGAAATGCTCTAAATAATTCATATTTATGTTAAATGCATGTTGTAAATCATCCATGCAACTTAATCTAACCTGATGAGAGCGCGGCGAGTGGGCGGCGAAGGAGGTAGCAGCGGCGAGGGGGCAGAGCGCGGCGAGTGGGCGGCGAGTGGGCAGCAGACCACAGCGAATGAGGTAGCAGCGGCGAGGAGGCAGAGCGAGGGGCCGGCGAATTGGGCGGCGAGGGGGCGGCGAGGGGGCAGCAGTGAGGACTGAGGCACAGAGAAGAAGAAGCAGAAGGAGGGAGTATGTGGGACGAAGAAGAGGCAGACGAAGGGGAGCGCGAAAGGCGAGAGGTATAAATGACATTTTTAAACATTTAACGTCGGTTATAATATAACCGACGTTGAATTTGCCGTTACTACGTCGGTTATTATGTAACCGACGTTAAATTTTGCCTCATGTCGTGATAGCCTCATATGTTTTAATCGATTGAAACGAGTTTAATCGATTAAAATAGTTCTGATCGGTCATAACTGGATTCTGATCGATCATCCTGACCCTTTAAGAGATTTTAATCGATTGAAACGTGTTTTTAATCGATTGAAAAAATTCTGATCGCTCATAATTAAAATCTGATCGATCACATTTGATTCTGATCGGTCATATTTGTATTATGATCGGTCATAATGAGTTCAGAAGGGTTTTCAACGTCGGGTGAGGGCATAACCGACGTCGAAAGCCCACTTTTCCACGTCGTGCATGCTAAAACGACGTAGAATGTGTCAAAATTCGACTTTCGACGTCGGTTGTTGACCAACCGACGTTGAAAGCATGTTCAACGTCGGCTAAGATGTAACCGACGTTAAACAGCGACGTTGAAAGTATATTTTCTAGTAGTGGAGGTTTTGAAGGAAAAAAAAGGAAACAAATATAAATGAAAGAGTTCAAGTGCTCGTGTTCCTTTAATGAAAATTAGAAAGATAAGATTTAGTGAAACGTGTAAGTGCTATTGTTCAATTTTTCATATGTCACCTTTTTTTTTTTTTTAAGATGAATCAACTCTTAAAGATGAATTACTTTATTATTTTTTGAGTCCTTAATTTCAATTTAAAGAATGTCTCAAGACACAATTATATTTGATTAACACTTCATTTAATAATTAATATGACATCAATTTTTTCTTGAAGATAATCAATTTAAGATACTTTAGATCAAATTTATTTACTTTCTTTTATCTTTTCCATTTAATTTTCGTTTTCATTTCAATTCTTCTATTTTTTTGCATAATTCTTGGTTTCAGTTAATCAATTTTTTGTTTTTCATTAAGCAATAATGTCTTATTTCTTCTGTAAAGTTGATTCAGCTTGATATGATTTAGATTTAATTTTAAATTATTCTTATGATTTATAATCCATTATAATTAATGTAATTACGATTTTTTTATTAAATGTCTTAATTTGCATCACAAATTTTAATTTTTAGATTTAAGTGATTGTTTTATATACAAACTAAATTGTGTTTTAATTTATTCGAATTGTAAGTAAGAAGAAGTTTTATGGATTTATATTATGATTACAAATAAATTTGAAAATCAATAACAATCACATAAATAAGTTAATGATTGTAAAATCAACCAATATTTTTTTATAACTTTTTTCATTTCCCACAGTAGTTTCCAATTTTGTGTTTACTTGTTAATTTTGAATTCATGTTTTCTTTAATATTTTTCAACCTTTTCACGCATTCTAAGACTTAGTTTTAATGTTATTATTTGATGCATAATTTTTTGCACAATTTACATTGTTCTGTAATATAAATTTACTTTGATGCACTTTATTATTTTTTTTAATGTTTTCATTATAGGTTTTTCTTAACTGCTTTGATGGGTTAGATACTATTTTTCAAAAATCATAGATTTACTTGCTCTCTTATATAGCTTTATACACCAAAACATCTTAAATCCTCCTTATTCTCCTTATTAATTCAAAGTTTGAATACACTTATTGACCTATCCTAGAACTACATTAATGTTTGTAATGTAATATTTTATTACAGCAGCACATTTATTAATTAGAGTTTACTAATAAACTTATTGAAAATCCAAACCTTCATGTGGTGATTGTCATCTAAACTAACCACTGTATTTCCAATACTAAACCACAATGTTTGTGCTGCAGAACCATGGAAGGCTGCCAATATTTTGTAACCATTTAGCATCTTATATCATTTCAATGTTCTTTGAGCTCTATGATGTATGGTCCGATCAACTTGGTATGATTTGTCTCTCTTCTCAAAATTCTTGAAACAATAATGTTATCATGAAAGCCTTTGTTACTAAACAAGTTACTTATTTGTTCAAAAAGAATTAGACTTCTATGCCTTTGCAGGTTCCGCCCAAGCTACTTCTTTTTCAATTGAGAGACTAAGACCGAACCTATGACCACCAGGTTCGATTTGTTTCTTCTCATGTTCTGTTGCGTCGTATATCTTTCAAATTTGACATCTTCAACAAAATAAATGTCACCAGCCTATCCTTATCTATAAATATTTTATTCCTTTTCTTTTGTAAATATTTGCCGAACTGTTCCTTGTAAGCATGCCTATTAGATTGGTTCTTTTTATATGCTGACGAGTTCTGGTCTAGACTTTTCCTCTTTATTTATACCAATTACACGGGATTTGTCTCTTCTTGCAACTCGTTAGACCAGTCATTACTCTTACACAAACAAACCACTATCTAGCTTTTTATTAGCTCAGAGTTTAGCAATTGGTAATATCTAGTTGGTTGTTTTAGAGTGTTATTCTTGATATATAGCTAAGTCCCATTGCAATCTTGATGGGCCAAATGGATGCGAAGAGAGGATAAGGATTAAGAAAGTAGAGTATTAATAAAGAGGAATTCTGAGGCTACAAGACCAAGCAAGTTATCCTTGGATGTGATGTGTAAATTAGTTTCAGTCGTATCATTTAATCTCCAAAGTCATAAAATAAAGTTTTCCATGTTAATCGTTTTTGTGATGGTTCACCCGCTAATGTTTGGGACAAGAGAATGAGACAAGTTTATGTATATATAATTGATTGGGGTAAGTAATCATAGCCAAAGCAAATGACCAAAAGGCATTAGTTATGCAAAAGCAATTGGACCAAAATCTGAGAAGATACGGAAGCATATTTTTCATTAATTAGTAACAAAGCAAACAGTACTTGTCCCTTTCATGTATAGAGGAAATTAATGTGATTCAACTGTTTATCACGTAAATGAACGTGAATAGTCATTTTGATTTTGGCTCTAAGATCCAAGATCTCAATTTGCTTTCTTTGCCCTCTCAAGTCTACATTTTCACACTGCATATTCCTACGATGGAGACTTTGATAGAAGACTTGAAGATTTACTTTTGAACTTTAGGATGTGAAAAGAGGAACTTAAATTACATGTTACACAATAATGATTGAAAATGAACTTTCACAAGCAGCTAATGCAACTCACTGATCTTCCTGCTCACATTAAGAAGGCAAGTAGGAAACAATTATATCTCACCAATGTCATTGTAATATTTCAATCAATCATTAGATCCCACACTCCTCCCTCAAGTTTCCAATGATAATAAAATAAACAAGACTAATGACATTGGAAAGGAATAATTGCAGAATCATTTAGACCTTCAAATTTAGCAGAACAATGAGCATAAGGGTGGAAGATCCCAGAGAGTTTCACTGCAGTCCTGAACAGTTTCCATGTACTCTTGTACCCCATTAATTGCATAGAGTGAAGCTGAAATTTGTCTTTCAACTTTCATTCTTTCAAATTCCGAAAGCTCCAAGTCAGCTGCTGTATCAGTGAGGCAATCATCAATCTTTGGTATATCCAATATTTGAGCAACTGGAAAACGATCAAAGACAGGTCCAAAACCCCATGAAGTATTGGATTGATGACCTAACCCAAAGTCCTCCCTGCAATTGCTCAAATCTGGTTTATAAGCATCATCAAAGAGATTTGAACTTTGAGGTGTCACAGTAGAAAGAGACTTGTCATTGTTGTCATTGTCATTGCCTGAATCACTATTAGTACAAGTAGTAATACTAGTACTAGTGCTGCTAACTACTTGAACTTCTGCATTATTAGCATTAGCATCTTCCTGTTTTTTTATACCTTTTTTGTTGTTAAGAAGATTTCTAATTCGAGAAGCAAGAGGGGAATCCAAGGACACATGAGTGATGAAGTTGGTGCGAGTGTTGGATCCACGAAGAAGGCATGCAGCTTCATCATAGGCTCTGGCTGCTTCCTCAGCAGTCTCAAATGTGCCAAGCCACATTCTTATCTTCTGAGTTGTGTCTTTGATCTCAGCCACCCATCTCCCTGAAGGCCTTTGTCTCACCCCAACAAATTTGTTGGTGTTGTTGCTTTTGCTTCTCCCTTTCAACTTTCCTCCTTTTGTGAATGCAATGCCTGATTTCTGATGCTGCAGGTTTGGTTTTTGGAATTGAATTTCCATCACAAAATTTATCAAACAAAATGGTGGTACTTTAGTAGAAGTTGTGATGAATATGTATCAAAAAGAGACACGAGGAGCAGCAAGTGTTTATAGCTCTCACAATGTTGATGGAAAGCTAAATATTACTTAACTTTCGTGTTGTTGTTTGCAAGTTGTTATATATATATATATATTTGTGTATGAAAAAGGTACCTAACTTTTCTGCAAGCAAGAGGACTAATACTATATCAAGTTATTTTCATAATTTAGATCATCATTTTAACCCAAAATAAAAACTTTAAAAATATACAACAAGTTTGTATTATTACTTTCCCACATCTTGAAACGGTCATAAAACCATGGGTTTAGGTCAACGTCCAATTTGTTAAAGCATCACTGAAGGGCTACAACATAGATAAAACCAACAAACGAAAAACGGAAATAAAAGAGAGTTGTTCCTTGTCCTCACTCTTCCCCACATTTTTCTAAGTCAAAGAGTTGAATGTTTGGTACTGAAGGCACGAATGGCTGCCACATGGAGGCCCCAAAATGATCCTTCAAATGCACCCATAAACAAAGAGATCATTAAGGCCATGCTTGGCACTCATGTGGTCACTCACCTATCACGCTATCCATAATAATAATAATATATTAATTAAATATTCATAAACAGGTATGTTATCGTGCGTGGTGCGTTTGTTGTAAGTTGTACCCCTCTTCTCACGTCACCAAGGACATTTTGTTCCCCACTATTATGCTTTATTCACATATTATTCTTCACAATCTTTCAACCAATTCCAAGGTTTTGATAAATGTGACGTTTTGTCTTCTTTCTTAATTGATTCAGAAGGACAATTAGCTAACCTAGAACAACTATTCAGTTTAAGTTGATCCTACGATGATTTTCCTTTTTTATTCCCTTGTTTTTTAATTATTAAATGAAACTTGAATAATTAAATATTGCATGTCACTAAAAGTTTACAATAAATGGATCTCACGTTAGACAATAATGAAGATATGGGAAAAAAGACACAAGTTTATTTTATTAAATAAATTAGCAATCCAACATGGTAATGTTATCTTGGAAAATCTTTCCGAGATCAAGTTAACTTACCATAATAACTTATGAATCATGTTAGGATGACCTTTAATTAACATAGCTTGAAAATTATTATTATTATAAAGCAAAAGGTTCATAAGTAGATTAAGCTTTATGGATTTGAATAGTATGGTAATGTTTGGTTGAATAGTGCGGCATGAATAATAGCTCCATACGTTTAAATCTAATAATAGCTCTACAAGTTTAAATCTAATAGAAAATTTAACTTCCCAAAGGTTAGTGTAGAGGTTTTGAAGGAAAAAAAGGAAACAAATATAAACTGAAACAGTTCAAGTGCTCGTGTTCCTTTAATGAAAAATGGAAAGATAAGATTGAGGGAGACGTGTACAAGCATATATGCTTGTTATTAGATGCTTTCAATTTTTCAGACCTGTCACTTTTTTTTTTCTTTTAGATAAATTGGAGATGAATTACTCTATCACTTTTTTGTTTAGATTAGTAAGTAAACAAATTTCAATTTAGAAAATGTCTCAATTAAACTTGGAACATAGTCATATTTAATTAACATTTCATTCAAAAATTAATATGACATCAACTTTTATTGAAGATCTCACACATTAATTTGAAACATTTTTTTTATTATAAATTCTATTTTTTTTAATATGTAAATGTGTCATAAATGTAAATGTGTGAAAAAAGTAAATATGCAAAAAAATAAATGTGAAAAAATGTAAATATGCAAGAAATATAAATGTGTGAAAAGTGTAAATGTGCGAACAAAGTAAATCTCTGGAAAAAAAATAAATGTACGAGAAATATAATGAGGAAGTGTAAATGTGCAAGAATTTTAAATTAATGGAAATGTAAAGTTATCAAGGATAAAATAGAAATTAATAAAGAAATTCAATGAAAATGGTGACCTAAATTATCAAGAATTTCATTGAAATATTATTTTTCTTATCACAACGTATTTTCAGAATGTAACCACTAAGAAACTAAAATAAAAATGATTTTCTTCCATATTAATCGTTTTCCTCCTTTCTTGAGTAGTTATATTATCTCACGTAGCACTTGTAATCATCCCTATCATGTCCTGGAGTTATAACCGTCTTTGTTACATTATGAAATTATAACCACTTATGCATACTTCTTAATTTTATAACTCATTTTCGATATCTCTTTTGTCTCTCTCGTTTCTCTAAGTTTTCAATTTTACTACTTATGTCTTTCTCTTTATTTCATCTTCGATTTGTTGATTTTTCGATTTATCGTCTTGTCTCTTCTCAATTTTCCTTTTCATCATTATGAACTTTCAATTATTTTATTTTTCAATTTACACTTTCACTCATTTATTTCCCTCGATCTCAATTTCGTCTATATCTCTCGATTGACTCCTCGTTTTTTCAATCCCTCTCGATCTTTACCATCTTGATTTTTACCCTCTCGATCTTTATCATCTTGATCTCGATTTTTATCATCTCAATCATGAATTTTTTCCTTTAACTTCAAAAGTTTTTTTGGCTTATTCTTTTGATATATTTGTAAATTTCTCAATAATAAAGGACCTTTAGATTTTCAATGAGAATCTTTCACAAAGAAAAACAAATAACCCAAACCCTCCCTTCTTAATTTTCTATGCATCAATATCCTTTAGTGTCCTCGGTAGCTTATCAAAGGAAGCCATTTGATGTTGTTTAAAGTTGTTAGATAATTACAAAATAATCTAACTCTCATTTCATTTTATTTTTTTAAGGACCAAAATAATTTGAAATATAAACCCATATTGCATCAATATCCTTTAGTTTTTTTTGGTAGCTGATCAAATGCAGCCTTTTGATGTCGTTTAAAGTTGTTGGATAATTACAAAATAATCTAACTCTTATTTCATTTGATTTTTTTTAAGGACCAAAATAATTTGAAATGTAAACCCATATTTAAAGTCAATAATGCATGTGTCATGCTCTTTTTATATAACATTTGCCACCCCTATACTTCCATATGTAATACATATTACAACTACTACTATAGTTCTTGGGTTCATAAAATATGAAATGAGTAATACATTTATAAGAGCTATGTTTTATAAGATAAAAACAAAACAAAAATAGAAGTGAGGGTTATAAAAGAAGAAATGAACATCATGAGGAACCTCACTCCCATATAGAGAATCATAGTAGTCATCACAATGATGACTACTATCAACCACCCCCACCTAGGTGTCATCGACCTAAAGTGACAACAATAAGAACCTAATGTCGATCTTCCTCCTTTCCATGGTAGAGGTAATGTAGAAGAATACTTAAATTGGGGTTGAAGGTTGAACGTTTATTTGTGTGCCATAGAATTAATGAGGAAAGAAGGGTGTCCATGACAACCCTTAGTTTTCAAGGGCACACGATGTATTGGTGGACCTCCCTAGTGAAAGTAATGAAGATCTTATTTACTTTGGCAAAGATCTTGTTGATTTGATGAAGTCAAAAATGAAGTCAAAGGCAACTCTGTGGCAGTCAAAGGTCACTTAAGATAAAAGAGAAGAGGATTAGTATGTCTGCAGCTCTGCTTAGGTATAACCATTTTATCCTTCTGCTGCATGTGGTTTCTTCACTTAAAAATATTCTGCAATTGCCTCTAAAAAATGTTTTAACCGTTAAAAACAAAACATTTTGACAAAAGGATTTTTAATCAACTATTTTAACTGATAGTATATGTGGTTTATCAACTAAAATGTTCTTCACACTTCTATAACAGGTTTTCAACTGATATATCTTCAAAATAACCGATTGTTTTCATTAAAAGAAGTGTTGAAAACTTTCTGTCAGTATTTTAACTAATACAATTTCGAAATAACCGATTGAAATCACTTAAAAAGATAAGGGAAGTGTTTTTTCAGTATTTTAGTCGATATAACTTCGAAATAATCGATTAAAACCACTTGGTATATCAAATTACCGATCAGAATGACTTTATGACCGATCAAAACCAGATATGATCGATCAGAATGGATTTATGACCGATCAGAACCAGATATGATCGATCAGATTTGAGTTATGACCGATCAGAATTATTTTAATCGATTAAAACATGTTTCAATCGATTAAAACAACTTGGAAAATTTGTACTAAACGTTTTAATCGATTAAAACGTATTTTTATCAGTTAAAATCACTTGAAAAAGTTTATAAAAATGTTTTGCAGTATTTTAATCGATTGAAAGTCGAAACAATCGATTAAAACAGATTAGAAGATTTTTTGAAAAGAGTTTTAATTGATATAAATGTTGTCGTATCAATTAAAAAAAACTGGAAAATAATCAAGAATATTTTAATGGATTAAAAGAAGTTTTAACAGATTAAAACAAGTTTTTTAACAGATTAAAAGATTATTTTAACAGATTAATTAAACCAGCAGTTTTGAAAAATCTTCTATATAAACAGATTGCTTGAACTTTTTTAAACATCATCTTTTACATAACTTTTACACAACTTTTAGCAATCAACAGGCAATCAAAAGTGTTACTTTCAAGAAAGAATCACGCTTGTTTTTGTGAAGTTCATCAAAGTTCTTTCTTAAGGCAAAATTGCATTTCTTTGGAGAAGAAACACTTATTGCAGAATTGCATAAAACTGGTTTGAGCATTCTTAGTTTCTTTTGTATGTTTCTTTACTTTCTTTTATCTGTATTGTGGGTGCCTGGAATTGTGGGCACTCGGTTTTCTCAGAGCTGGAATTTGGTCGCAGGGTAGTTCAAGAACTGGAATTTGGTTCTTGGTGAAAGGTTAGGTGCGGGAACTGGAATTGTGGTTCTTCTGTTAGATTGAGTGTAAGGTTAAGGTTGTAATTTGTAAAACATTCAATCTAGTGGAACCCAGCTGGAATTTGGCTGGAGACTGGACGTAGCCCTGGGTGAACCAGTATAAACCCTAGTGATATCTTTCTAAACCTTTCTCTTCTTTAATTTTGTGA